GCGGCCCAGACCCATGGGGACACTGCACCCTGAGCCCCAAGGCACCCCACACCCCATAAGGACACTGCATCCTGCGCCCCATGGTACCCTGCACCCCATGGGGACACTGCACCCCACAGCACCCTGTGCACCAAGCCGCACAGGGACCACTGCACCAGGCACCCTGCACCTCACGGCACCCAGTGCACCCAGGGACCCCCCACCCATCACCATGCTCTGTGGGGACACTGCAGCCCATGCCCCCACCCCTGTCCTACACCGTGCTCCGTGGGGACACTGCCCCCTGCGCCCCATGGGACCCTGCACACCTAGCCCCACGGGGATCACTGCACCACTGCACCTCAGTGCACTGCACCGAGGGACCTACCCCACGCACTGCGCTCCATGGGGACACTGCACCCCTGCACACCGAGCCCCACGCGGATGCTGCACCCACTGCACTATGCAACTTGTACCCCAATGGCACCCCCTGCACTGAACCCCATGGGGGAGGCTGCACCCACTGTACAACGCACCCCACTGCACCTTATAGGACGCCCATGGGGATTCTGCACCCCGTGGGACTCTGTGCACCCAGCCAGATGCTGCACCCACTGCACTCTGCACCCTTGCAGGGGTCCCTGCACCCACGGGACCCCTTGCACTGCACCCTATGGGGGACGTTGCACCCCACTGCACCTTATGGGGCCCTGTACCCCATGAGGATTCTGCACCCCAAAGGATCCCACGCTCTGCACCCACAGGGATGCTGCACCCACTGCACTCGGCACCCTGCACCCTACAGGACCCTGCACCCACGGGCCCCCCCGCTCCCTGGCCGGGCGCCCGGCGCCGCCGCCAGCTCCCGCCTCGGGTTTCGTTTCCGCGCGGGCTCCGGTTTCCCGCGGGAATGCGACCCGCGGCGGGAGCCGGGCGCGGGACCCAGGTGTCCGAGCGGGGCCCAGGTGTCCGAGCGCCGCCCCCGCTCCCCCCCCGCGAGGAAGGTGCGGAGCAGGAAGAGGGCCCAGGCGTCCGGGCCTCCTCCCGCCCTGCTCCGCGCCCGCACCCCTCCCTCCCGGGAAGGGACCCAGGCGGCCGGGCGGATGCGGCCGGGGCCGGAAGAGCGACCGGGATCCGCGCCGCTCCCAGCCCTGGCGCGACCGGGGCCCCGGCGTCCGGGCGGCCCCGCCCCGCAGGAATGCGCGGCCCGGCCCCGCGCTATTGCCATATAAGGGCAAATGGCGCCGCGGGCCCGGCCGCCGTCCCGGCCCCCGCCGCCCCGGTCCCGG